CTTAGTGAGACCCTGCCTCAAAATAAAAAATGAACAAGAACTAGGGCTATAACTCAATGGTAAAGTGACTCTGGGTTCAATGCCCAGTACGAGTGTGTGTGTGTGTGTGTGTGTGTGTGTGTGTGTGAGAGAGAGAGAGAGAGAGAGAGAGAGAGAGAGAGAGAGAGAGGGAGAGAGAGAGAGAGAGAGAGTGAAAGAGAGTATTATCTTAAGCCACTAAACCTGTGGTAAATTTTTACGTGGCAATAGAAAACGAACATAGCTCTTTTGCCTCCTTCATGCAAACCATGGCTTTTTAATATCTTCTTTCTTCCTGCAGTCTCTATTCCTGTCTGAGACCGAAGAATTATGAGTCACAATGGCCTCCCCACAGATTTCTAGTTTCCTGTGGTCTCCTTCTTCATTCTATCCTGCGCTTCTCAGTCCGAGTAACCCTCTCAAAGCATTGCCCTTGACTTGCTCAAGAACCACGTTAACTCTCCTGGGGTTGGTTATCAACTCGCCTCTCTACGACCTGGTTTCACATTCCTCTGCCACCCAGTCCTTACAGAGCTTGCCTGGCTCTCTTGGCCTGTCTGATGACCAAACCTGTGACGTAGGCCTCATTAGTGAAGTTGACTAGTTAAGAGAGTCGCTCTGGGGAACACCTTCTGTAGAGCAGTGGCTCATGACTTTAAGTGATTTTTTTTTTTTAAGTAGGACTGAGAATAGTGAAGCCCCAGGGTCAGACCTAGGGGTCAGCTCATAGACCCCAGGGACTTTGGGGGGAGTTGTTGTTATTGATGCCCTTAGTTTAAGTTGATTGTAGCTTGCATTGTTGAAGCTTTTAAAGCTGTTCTTCAGAATTAACTAAAATGTATTGAGGGTCTATTAGGTACCAGGTACTAGGATAGATACTTAGAAGTATGCTATTTTCATTAAAGGTATTCTCACAGCACTAGGATCTTTTTTTAATTTTTTTTAAAGGATCATTGAACCCACTGCCCACATAACCTTTACTGACTTTTTTGGTTGTGGGGGACAGATTACTGGAAATTGAACTCAAGGGCACTTAACCACTGAGCCACATTCCCGGCCCTTCTTGTTTTTTKGGGTTTTTTTTTAGATGGACACAACACAATGCCTTTTATTTTTATGTGGTGCTGAGAATCGAACCCGGGTCCTGCCCATGCTAGGCGAGCGCTCTACTGCTGAGCCACAATCCCAGCCCCCATTCTTGTTTTTTTGTTTTTTTTTTAATCTTTTATTTTTAAGGCAGGATCTAGCTAAGTTACCCAGGTTGGCCTCAAATATGATCCTTCTGCCTCAGCTTCCTAGTAGCTGAAATCATAGATGTGCACTGCCGCACCTGGCTAGACTATTGAATGAAGCAATGAATTAATGAGACCAGACCTAATAGTGCTGCAGAGTCTAAGAGGTAATGGCCCTTGTGACTTTCTTATAGAACTTAATACTATTAACAGATACTTAAGAGATACTTATAAAAGTAGGTACAGATTTTCAATTATAAATATTAAATCATCAATTAATCCTACCCTCCCTAGTCACAAGAGCAGTCTTTCAGTTAGGGGTCAGACAGCGCTGCCCCTTAGGCCTACTTCTGTGTCAGAATTACTGAAGGGCCATATTATGTCCCTCCTAAAGGCACAGGACTCTGTAAACCAAATGGTGAAACCCAAATATGGTTAAAGAATTGCTGATGACGTTTCACATTTATTTTTTTTCTTCTGAAAGCCAAGCTGAGGCATGAAACAGGCCACTGGAGTTTTGTGAAGGCGGGAGGGGGAATGAGATCGGATCTGCGCTATAGATTACTCTCATAGCAGAATATTGGATGGACGATAGCAGTTTTCAGCCTAGAAGAATTAAGGTGAAATCTTAACACTTTCCCAGTTGAATAGAATAGATATTTGTCTATGTCTCATCTTTCCCATGTGAGTTCCTTCATATGCCAATGATGCCTCAGTAAAGTTCTGTTCAGTACATAACTGGAAAAGAAACAAATGGGTTTAGAGGAAGGAAACAGACCATTTTGACTATAGCAGAAAACCTGTAGAGCAGTAGRAGAGAGGCCTGTGAAAGAAAGAAAAGGCAGATTGTGGGAGGGATTGATTATGAAGCTTTTTAAAAGTGTGCATTGGATCGTCGTTCCACTTCTTTCTGAAGGATACTGGACAAGTCACTTAACCTTCCTGAGATTTAGTTTCCTTTATCTGCAAAAGAAAGATGACAAAATGGGACCTATCTTAAAAGGCGGCAGTGAAGATTGGACAATGAATGTCAGCCACTTGGCAGAAGACTGAGTGCTCAGTAACTGGGATTGTGGTTGACCCTGCCTAAGCAAACATTTAAAGATGCCTGAGCAAGAGAAAGAAGTGTTTAAAGAGGTTCTTTACAAGAACTAATCGCACCATTATTGATCACTTTCCCTCCAGAATTAATATACCAAATGCTATTACCTCCTTCCTGGCTCGGGAACTGCCTTTCTAGTGAGAGTCATTCCCAGGAGGAGCCCCTGACTAGCAAAGAAAGCTCTCTTATGCTAGTCAAAGTATCCTAGCTGTGGAGTGCCCCCCACCCCACCCGACACATACACATTCTCCATCTCTCTGGGATGGAGAATCAGAGTCCTCCAATACTACTTTGAAGGTCAACCATCACTACCCCAGATTTATATCCAGGGTGTGTTCTGAGAATAAAGTGATGTTTCTTTTCATTTCAAAGCATAGATATTTCCCCCCCAAATCCAGGGAGGTGTCCAGGCTTTCAAGAGTAGCCCTTCTTCCTCAAGTCCCCTAAGCACTAATCAGGGAGCTTATTCTCTGAAGAATTTATGAGGAAAGACATCTCTCTGCCTCAATTTTGTTATCTATAAAATGGAAGGTAATAAAGGTACTTCATGAGGTTTTTTTCTGAGGATTAAATGAGCCAATATGTACAAAGGGCCTATATGATACTACCTGGCACATTGCATGTGTTTCCTGTTAGCTACACTTTATTAAGGGCTTTATTTCTTCCACTATTTGTAGTGCTTATTTATGGTTATATATTTCTCGGTCATTAAGCATTAATAGTGAACCTGTAATAGGCTATTTCAGCCCAAGCGTACACCTAAGGGTAGAAGTGACTGATGGCTTATAAATATTCATCCTCCAGGTCAGAGACACCCAGCTTTTCCCCAGACCCAACCACAGGTGATAGTATATGTTGATTTAATTTATTGAAAAAAAATAAATTGCAGACAAGCTTTTAGATTAATTGGTAACTTTATTAATAACTGTAGTGTCTACACACATTTGAAAACACATGTAGGAGACATGCCATATAGTCAGTCTGTGATAATTTCTGAAGTTCCTTTGGATTCATGAAATCCCTGCAATCAGCTCCAGAAGTAAATGATCAGACCTTAGTGTCTTAATCCACAAAATCAAGGTTTGAACAGAAAGACTCAATATTCTATAACTCCACAAAATAAAACTAAAATGCAATTGTCCTCTCATAGGAGGATACAAAAATAGTGTTAGCTACATGCTTTCTCTCAGCCTCATCTATAAAAAAAAATATTAATTCTGTTGTCCCACCTGTCTTGCAGAGTCTTCTGAGAAGCAAATGAGGTAGCAACTATAAATTAAAACCTCTTCTCAGTGGGGAATAGAAAACCAGGATTGAGGCAACGCAGAAGACRGCTCTTTGCAAAGACCAACATTCTGATTTCAATGGAAATCTGAAGGTTACACTAAACTGTGAGGCATAAAGGTAGGACCTATTGCAGCCTCCTCTTTCACAAAGAGAATCTTAACATGCACTGTGACTAAGGGCAGATTTGGGAAAGGAGCCGCAAAAATATATCCATTTTCATCCTGTCTTCACATACCTCTAATGGAAAAGAAGCAAGGAAGAAAGGGGTGGGTAGAAAATTTAACTCAATAAATATTAATTCAGTAAGTACTATTTGTCCTCTATGTGCCAGGCATTGGTTTGCACTTAAGGCACAGTGGGAAGTCAGACCCGCAAAGCCTGTCAAGGATAAGGAGAAAGATCATAATTAAGAACAAATAAACCAATTTCAGCTCGTTAGGAGGAAGACAAAACAGCCAGGCAGGAAAGATAGGAGCGAATTCCTGAGTGGATGGCTTAAAAAGGTATATTCAAGATGACTTTTGAGCCCAGATCTAAATGACGAATGCGCTTTGCACTGCCGTGGGAGCGCAGCGCAGCGTTCCAAGCTCAGAGTATTAAATGTAAAAACGATTCACAAATCCAGAAAGGATTTAAACACCCAAGGGGGGGTGGTAAGTATTCCGCAGCAGCGGGAAATTTTAAATATTCGTGTCGCCCAATCAGGAAAAGTTGAGGGCCCGGCTGCGCGGGCTCCGCCCTAAGTACACAAATCCCGCGGTACACACAGGACACCTCGCAGGGTCGAGCTGGCGGCTGGATACACCGAGCTGTCAGCGTTCGCTGGAGTCGGGTTTCTGTCCTGGGGTCCTCGTAAACCACGACTTTTAGGTCAATAAAACACACCCAACAAAGCCACCAGAACACAACGGTGTGGGGCTGGGAGGAGAAAGGACAGACAGACCCCTAGCATCCCGGTTTAGTACTAAGAAAGCTAAGCAGCGCAATAGGAGGAATGACGCGCTTTTAGAATCGAAAGCAAGTCCAGCCACACACCCGGAACCTCGAGTTACAAATGTTTAAAAACTACTTGTGCCATCTCCTAGGACGTTTAGAACTAAGGGAGTACAAGTGAACCAAGCTCTTTTCTGCTGATTAAGTGGGTGGCTCTTAAAAGAGCCTTTGGAGAAAAGTGGCTAGAGAGCGCCAAGTCCGGGCAGGACTCATTTGGAGCTGGTGTACTTGGTGACCGCCTTGGTGCCCTCGGACACGGCGTGCTTGGCCAGCTCCCCGGGCARCAGCAGGCGCACGGCCGTCTGGATCTCCCGCGACGTGATGGTCGAGCGCTTGTTGTAGTGCGCCAGGCGGGACGCTTCGCCSGCGATGCGCTCGAAGATGTCGTTGACGAACGAGTTCATGATGCCCATGGCCTTGGACGAGATGCCCGTGTCGGGGTGCACCTGCTTCAGCACCTTGTACACGTAGATGGAGTAGCTCTCCTTGCGGCTGCGCTTGCGCTTCTTGCCGTCCTTCTTCTGGGCCTTGGTGACGGCTTTCTTRGAGCCCTTCTTRGGGGCCGGAGCGGACTTGGCRGGTTCAGGCATGGTAACACACGGAGCCAACAGGGCTCAGCCAGGGGAAGAATTAAGGGGATGGGCGGGCCTGATCCTTTTATAACCACCTTATGCAAATTAGGGCTCAAAAAGTCCTTCGCTTTCATTGGTCCATGTAAGGACCTTGCGTTTTCAGCAAAACCTACGTAACACTAACGACTCTCGATTTTATTGGCCGTTTCTGGAGCCAAATTAGGACCAATGAAAACCTCGCTCCTGACCCCACCCCTAGGAAAGCTTATAAAGGGTTTCTTTTGGGTGCTTTTTCAATCTTGTGGGGGAAATCTGACGCTTCTGCTGGTTTAAACGCTCGGTTTAGTCATGTCCGGCCGTGGCAAGCAGGGAGGCAAGGCCCGCGCCAAGGCCAAGTCGCGCTCGTCGCGCGCTGGCCTCCAGTTCCCGGTGGGCCGGGTGCACCGCCTGCTGCGCAAGGGCAACTACGCCGAGCGGGTGGGGGCCGGCGCGCCCGTCTACATGGCGGCGGTGCTCGAGTACCTGACGGCCGAGATCCTGGAGCTGGCTGGCAACGCGGCCCGCGACAACAAGAAGACGCGCATCATCCCCCGTCACCTCCAGCTGGCCATCCGCAACGACGAGGAGCTGAACAAGCTGCTGGGCAAAGTGACCATCGCCCAGGGCGGCGTCCTGCCCAACATCCAGGCCGTGTTGTTACCAAAGAAAACCGAAAGCCACAAAGCCAAAAGCAAATAAACGCTGACCAGCTAAACCAAAGACCAAAGGCTCTTTTTAGAGCCACCCAAGTTTTCAAAAAAAGAGCTAATGCGCTACTTGTGATCAGCCCTTCGTTTGACACTTTTGGTGGCTCTTAAAAGAGCCTTTGGGGTGAGGGGATGGTGCCCAGCCTAGTTACTTGTTCTTGCCAGGCTTGTGACTCTCCGTTTTCTTGGGCAGTAAGACAGCCTGGATGTTGGGCAACACGCCGCCCTGGGCGATGGTGACACCCCCGAGTAACTTGTTGAGCTCCTCGTCATTTCTCACGGCTAGTTGCAAATGGCGAGGGATGATGCGCGTCTTCTTGTTGTCGCGGGCCGCGTTGCCAGCCAGCTCCAGGATCTCGGCCGTCAGGTATTCGAGGACGGCCGCCAGGTAGACGGGCGCGCCGGCCCCCACCCGCTCGGCGTAGTTGCCCTTGCGCAGCAGGCGGTGCACCCGGCCCACCGGGAACTGGAGGCCAGCGCGCGACGAGCGCGACTTGGCCTTGGCTCGAGCTTTGCCTCCCTGCTTTCCGCGTCCTGACATGACGGCTAAAAATGCGGTTAGAGCTTCTTTTTCAAGGAGAAGGATGTGGAAAGGATAACCAATTTGATGTAATTTATAAGAGCTACCGGGAGGGGTGAGGGGAACTAGTTTGATTGGCTGCAAACGGAGCCGGCTCAGACAGCCAATAGGGGAGCAGAAAACAGACTTCTGGTTTGCAACAAGGAAATGACGGATTTTTTAAGTACCTACCAATCGCTGAGAGCCACATTAAGTCCCCTTATTTGCATACCAGGATTTTTTAAAGAGAAGGGTTTCAAACAAAAACCATTCTCTATTTTAGAGTGGCAATTTGTCGCATTGTTTTGGTTCCTGTTTAGGGTAGGGAAATCCCCAGAAGGAACCTAAATAATACAGAAGCCCTCAAGTAGACGGATAATTACTCCTGTATGKGATTCCGCAGCCAGTTATCCCCTTGAGCCCTAAACTAACCCTCCACCTCTCACCCTTTCTGTCTCGGCACAGCCAGGCTCCTTTAAAGAATTAACTGCTGGCGCTGCGTCCTTTCTTTGCCCTCAGTCTGGTGGGTGGCTTCGCCCCACCCCCACATCCCTGCGCAGTCTTGGAATTGAGTTTGACCGAGGGCTAGAATATGTTATCCTTCTCTTGACCTCCAGGAGGCGTCCGGTAAYACCTTGAAACTTGGTGGCTTGGTTCTCAAAATGTCGCCGTTCGTTTTTCTTATCTGACTTTTCTTATCCTGTTTCTATTCCTCTGCCCACTCCTAAGTCTGCAAATGACTGTCTCCCTACCCACAGATCTTCATTCTTCCTGAGGTGTCTAGCCCACTTTCTGTGCTTTCAACGAATATCCACATTTGTTTCAGGAGCTCAGACCCTCTTATCTAACTGCTTACCAGATAATTCAACCTGATTGTCCTTAAACATCAGAACAGGAACTCATGCAAAGAACGCTCGCCCTTTTTGTCCTCTTTCCCTGAATTGCACCAACGAAATTCCAGGTTCTGAGACAGAAAGACCACCCATAGACAACTAGGGGAAGAGTCTCTCTTCTTTCTAGAGAAGAGATAAGAGAGGATCGGGAAATCAAGCTTCCSACCCCAGGTATTTTAAGCCACAAAAATACCTTAAATACCCCCTAGCAACGACCAACCGCAAAATGTTCTCTAAAGCACTGCCTCTGGCGCCAACAGACCCTCAACCCCCACCCTTATGCTAATAGAGGCTTAGAAATTACTCTTTCCTGATTTGCTGAAGAAGACAAAATAGAGAGAGTTGATTGGCCTCTTTCTGAATCTTTTTACCTGTTATCCCATCGATCACCTATAGGGACAGACCATCCCATAAAAACCGCTAGACAGAACAGTGGTACTTTGTCTTGGGACCCTTCCCATGCTGCAGATGCATTTTCTGCTTTAAATAAAATTTGCTAGTCTACTCTCAGTTTGTTCGTGGATCTCTTGACAGCTTGCTCCGTGTTACAGTACCTAAGCCAGCATTTGCTCTTCCCTTTGTCTCAACAGCATATCCAGCCAGTTACTTCTTACTCTTCAGCCTTTTTCTCCCAGCTCTCCTTGTCTACGTCTCCTCACTCCCTTAGATTTTAGAGCCAGCTCCTGAAGAGTAACTTTACCTGCTGGTTCTAATGACTACGGTGATTCTCCACCCACCTTTCCTAGAAACCTTTCCGCAAACTTTTTCTGTTTCTTCTTTCCCAAAGAGGTTTTGCCTCCCTCACACCATTTTCATTCTTTCCTTAGTGTCTCACAGGAGAAAAGAACTGATTTAAATTCTTTTCCTTGAGCTCTTTTCTAATGCTCTCCTTTATCCACATCTTTATTCAATCAGCTCTTATTGAGTGTGTTATTGGACTGTGGGTATGCAGATAATTGAGACTAGTAAGTCTGTGATGAAATGCTTCTAGAAAAATGGAGGCAGGCTGGTGAACTCTGGGAGTTAAATTAGTTAATATCAGCAATCTGTAGTGATAACTCTGGGTAAGAATGCTCTTATAGATTTGCACAATGCTCAAATCCAATCAAAAGTGATGGGAGTGTTTCCTCAATTGTGGAATGTAACCAAAGATAATTCTGACCTAACCAGATGTTAGACTTAATGAAGTAACTTAACTWATCCAGCCTTGCTTTCATATACTTAATAGTTTAGATTCCATACAAAACCCTTTTAGATAAGTCCAGATAGGCCAATATCTTACAAATTATTTCAGACTCATTTACTCTCTATTGCTCCCAAGAGCGCCCTTCCTAGTTCTTACCAGAGCTATTATAAAAGAAAATAGAGCAGGCAATTTGTAAAAGTATACACCATTACAAATAGGCTGGCTCTTATTTCCTTTAACACCTCTGGGATTGTTCACCAAAGGCAGCTGAGTTCCTTCTCAGACAGTTTAGTTAAGCAGGCATTTATTTTGTATTCTAGAGCCATTCCACCATTCCAGGCATCGACCCCTCTCCCTCCCTTTAGCTCCACCTCTCTCACCACCACCCCACCCCTGTACTGCACTGTGCACCATCATTAGGTGAGCATGGCCTCTGAAACTCCATGAGGTTGCACGTACAGTTGCCCCTGACAGATATGCTTCCTCCTCTCTCTTTCTCTCCCTCTCTCCCTCACTTCTCCTTCCCCACCTCCTTCTCCCCCCCCCCACACCTTTCTCTCCTTCTTTTTGTGGTACTGGGATTGAAGCCCCCAGCCCTTTTTATGGTTTTTATTTTGAGACAGGGTCTAGCTAAGATGCTGAGGTTGTCTCTAACTTGCAGATCCTTATGCCTCACCCTCCCAAGTTGCTGGGTTTACAGGTGTGTGCCTGCCTGGCTCCATCTTCTCTTGACAAGGCAAAATTCTTCAACCTTTCGGTTTCAGTCCAGAGACCACTTCTATGGTGAGGGCTTCCCTGCTCCCGTATACACAGCCTTGGTGTGTCTACATGGCTTTGTTGACATCCTGGTGAGGGCACTTTTCATTCTCTAGTGTATTTTTATATTGGTCTCACCTCCCTTCTGTGGCTAGTGAGTCAACAGTTTCCAAGAGCCAACCATATATAGTAGACTGTGGTGGAATGACAGAAGATATAAAAGGAGTTCATGCACTAATAAAAGGAAAGAAACACACACACGTCAATGAGACTAATGTAAAGAATTCATACAGAGCCCGGAACCCCAGAGGGCCCGAGGCTGGATGAGGAGGCTGTGATGGTGAACTTGACTGGCTAAGAGATTATTTCTAGATATGGCTGTGAGGGTGTTTCTGAGAGAGGTTAGCGTTTGAATTGGTGGACAATGAAGAGGATCACCCTCACCTACTCAGGTGGGCTACATCCAGTCTAGTAAGGACCTCAAACAAAAAGACCAAAAGACAAAAGAAGGACAAATTTGCTTCCTGCCTCAGGGAGAACATCCATCTGCTCCTGCCCTTGGACTTCAGTGCTCCTCATTCTCTGTCTTCAGAGTCAGACTGGGACTCTCAACGTGAGTCCTGGGTTCTTAGGCCTCTGGACTTGGACTGGAACTCAGCCCATGGGCTCTCCTGGTTCTCAAACCTTGGGGTTTGGCCTAGAACTCCACCATTGGCTTTCCTGACTCTCCAGCTACAGATAGCAGACGGGAGATTCTCAGCCCATCATCATTTGAGCCAATCCTTTACAATAAGGCTCTTTTACTGTATCTCACAGGAAGAATAGCCCAAAGAGCTTGACTCTCGGGCTTGTTTACCAGATCTGCGACTATGGGCAAGAGACCTAACCACTAAGCTGCTCTGCTTCCTKGCTGCTTTGTACTTTGTGGGACTGTGGTAAGAATTAAAAGAGTTCATAAATATAAAACATCTAGAACAGCATCTGGTACCAAAAAAAGTAGGAACATCCCAAAAACTCTTTGAGTGAGTTTTTCATTTTAGAAATAAATATGTTGGGGAGCTGGAGGCCTAGCTCATTGCTATAGCGTGTGTACTTAGCATTCCTGAGGCCCTGGGTTCAATTCCCAACACCATAAGAAATAAGTAAACATTGGTTTATCCTATGACCCAGCAATTTCACTCATGAATATATACAAAAAAAAAAAAAAAAAGAGAAGAAGAAGAAGAAATGATTGTTTATGTCCAACAAAAAACATGTACAGGAATATAATTTGTTCATATATTTCAATACTGTATAATAATGAAAATGAACAAATTACAAATTACTGCCCCGCACATGGATGAATCTCACAAACATAATGTTGAGTAGAAGAAAATAAACACGAGAGAATCCATATTTATGTGAAATTCACAAAGGAGCAAAACACATCTATGGTGATAAAGACTAGAATAAGAGTTACCTATGGCAGGACAGTATGGGCTTGCCTGGGAGCCATCTGAGGTACTAGAATTCTCTATATCTTGATATGGGTGCATCACATGTAAAATTAAGCTGTACATTTAAGATTTTAAATTTCTTATATTTAAATCAAACCTCAATAAGCATAAAGTACTTTTTTAAAATGAACAAGTATTGAAGTAATCATCACAGGGAAAACCAATGAGTTCTTTGTTGGTCATGCCAATCCTCATGTTAAAGACTGGTGTTTGTTGTTTGCTTTGTTTTGTTAGTTACACATAAAATGGCCACCGTGACGCTCAGTACTTAAAGCCTTTACAAATCTTAATCCAGCCAAGACAGACTTTCTGCAAATAGTAGATATTATTTGAAACACAGACAATCAACTTGCCCGAGGAGCTTGCATTTGCTAATTTTTCACTTATTTTTACAAAGAGAATAATGATGTTGGCCCTTTCCATTAATACACTAATTCATTTATCCATCCAATTTTGGAGGTTTGTTTGTTGAGATAGGGCTTCACTAAAATTCCCAAGTTGACGTCCAATTTGCAATCCTTCTGCCTCAACCTTCCAAGTAGTCATATGCATGTACCACGGCACCCGGCATATTCTACCCAATATATTTTATTTATTTATTTATTTATTTATTTATTTATTTTTAAAGAGAGAGAGAATTTTTTAATATTTATTTTTCAGTTTTCGGCAGACACAACATCTTTGTTTGTATGTGGTGCTGAGGATCGAACCCGGGCCGCACGCATGGCCAGGCGAGCGCGCTACCGCTT